TATTTTTCCACCATGGAGTGCCTGGACAGAGAAGAGCTTGGACTGGCCTGAGTGGGAGCTGCACTCCCATAGGGGTGGGAGGGCCAAGAGACCAGAGGTGGCGGAACGGAGTGCTCGGGTTGGGGTGTAGGGTTTGAGCATAGCCTGAAGGTAAGGAGGGGAAGTTCCCCTTGCTGCTCCGTAGGCAAGCACCAGGGTGGTGCAGACACAGAGCCTCTCCACACCACCTGGTAGGAGCGACCTGCCAGGTAGGATGCAATCCAGGAGTGTGCAGAGCATGAGATGCCCAACCCTGAGAGGGTGGAGAGGAGGATCTGATGGTTCACGTTGAAATGACGTGGTGTGCCCAGTGGGTGGATCTACTGGTTATTGCTCCACATGCCAGAAGCATGGGATTTGAGTTAGGGTAAACTGACCCCAGATTGGTGGTTAAGAGCCTGTTTAGGAGCATCTGCACTGATTGATGACCTCTGACCTCTTAGGTTAAAAGAGGTGGAAAGCAGGCTGGCCGATTTTCCTAGATGTTCTGGACCAATAGAAAGCCTAGATTTGACAACTTGTTCTCCTTGATGAACTGAAGTGGTTGCGGATATAAGAGCATCACGTATTCCTGGACATTGATCATGAGATTAACAGGGAAGATGGAATTGTACTGTATGATAGAAAAACTGATCTCGTCAATATGGGCCTACTGGTCAACTGCACAACTAATGGGTCACTGATCCATGTGAACGGATACGGATCCATTTTTCCTGAAGAATTCTGTGTGTGTGTGTGTGTGTGTGTTGAAGGTGGTGTAAAGGGATTTGAGCTAGCAGTGTAATCTGAGTTGTGCTGCATGCTGCCTGCCTGTGCTGTTAGCATAGAGTACTGCTTTACCCCTCTGTTAATCCCTGTCTCTCCATCCATCCCTCCGTTTCTCCATCCAGCCCTTCGTCTCTCCCTCCTTCCAGGGGATTTGCCATTAAGAGATGGCTTTTGGGAATGTGTGTGTGGTGTGTGATGAAGCAGGCATACACAAGCACACGCTGACTGGATAAGTACACACATTAATAATATGCACGCACACAGGTTTTAGTGACGGTGGGGGGTTGCTGTGCTTTAAGTGCAGGAACACACACACACACACACACACACACACACACACACACACACACACACACACACACACACACACACACACACACACACACACACACACACACACACACACACACACACACACACACACACACACACACACACACACACTGGTGCACTCACACTATCAAACACACACATTCATGCAAATGTATCGCATACACTTTCACTCCCAGACACACACACACACACACACACACTCTGCCTCCGTCAGACAGGACCTGTTCGCCTGTTCAGTCCTGTATGTGGGAGGGATCTCTGCTGACTGACCGGCAGGATGGACGGACGGACAGACAGACACATGGACAGGAGGACAGGCACCTGGATCACACATGGACACAAGTATCAGACATGATCGACAGGTAAGAACACGTTGTGTGTTTTATGGTATTTTAATACTTTTTACAGTCCTGCAATAATTATGACAGAATTATAAGTGTATTGTCACACTATTTATTCTCAGAATTCCTAAATGGCATTTTGGTTTGCCTCCATGTTGATGTTATAATGCAACTTTTCCTTAGAAATTGTTGCATTGCATTGTGTGATGTAACTTTTGAAGGGTCTTGTGATTGTGTTACCTGTTTTAATGCTGTTTCTTTAGCCCTTTACTAAAATGCCAACCTGTTTTTTTCAGAACACTGCTTATAAACTGCAAATATGAAATTAATAGATATTTTGTTAACTATTAGTAAACTGTTTGTGAATAATTGTATTAGTTCATGTATTTATTCACATTTGAAATACATATTTTATATTTAAACATTCCAATAAGATGACTGTAATTATATGTAAATAATGAACAACACAACTTTATGATTGCTCCATGTATACAACAATATTAACATATTAATACGTAACAACATTTATAAGCATTATAAGCAGAGTGTTTTAACAGTGGTGTGTGCCTTGTTTCAGTTCTTCTTTAATCCTGTCATGTCCCAGATGAGAGACTGCAGGGATGATTCTCATCGCTTTAACAGGTCAGTTTCTCACTCATATCTACACTGTATGTTATTCACTGTTTCTAACAACCTGTTTGAATACTTAGAAAGTGTGGATGGAAAACAATACATAGCTTGCATTAGGCTACATACAATCATGTCAGATCAGTGATTGCCTCTATCAAAAGACTAAGATAACTCAATAAATAGTTGTGGGTATGTTTAAAGGGACAATCTGGGATTCAATCAACAACAAAGTGCACACCCCTCCACTTTCTTGGTAAACAGCTGATGGATGGGGCTGGAGAAACATAACCACTCCCAAATTCATACAGGGCTATAGATGCAATGGAGTGAAAACAAACTTATATTTTGGGTTGTGATGGAGTAAGAATGTTGAACTAAGCTCATGAGGCATTTATAAGTTATATTCTTCAAGATATCATTCATTTTAAAGTCCAAAAATGTATGTATCAATCCCAGATCGCCCCCTCATTAAGAGTCGATTAACACACATCAATTAATTAACATAATATAAAAATCCCCATCAAAATCCATCTGTTTAAACTAGAGATATCTGGTTTTTTGTATGGGCTGCATCTCAATCCACCGCACCTGTCAATGTCAGCCTTGCGCATCTGCGGTGGAAAGTGGCGGAGCTACAGGGCTGTTTGTCAGACCAGGAGACATCCCGAAAATCGGTCTTCTCACGAAAACGTCTGTAGCATCCGAACGGTTTGGCCTACAAACTAATATGACCACTCCATGGAAAGTTTTGCTCTATGACCCCCACAAGTGGACTCGTCTGAAGGTAACCCGGTACCGGTTTAAAAAATGTATGGAATTAGTTTTGTGCCATTAAAAAAAGGGGTTAAATATGTGTCCAAAAAAAGAAAGATATTTCCTGATCTTTTTTATGTCTCCTAGATATAGGACAGACACTTCAAAACCTTATTCCTTATTATTTATTATTTGACTGTCTGTTTTGCCATTTATGAATGTGTTATTCAATGCGTTTTAATGGGCTATAGCAGTAAAGGCTAAATTCAATATTTTATCAAATCATTTTATAATATTTTTTTGGGATAACTACAGGGGTCCTAATATTCTAAATCAAATAGCTAAATGCAACTACATTGTAGACATTGTGTGGTTGAGCATATGAATCCAAAAACAAATGTTCTCACACAAAGTTTCACATTTCTTATTGAAATGTCTACTGACGATCCTCATGCTCTGAAGTCTTTTCTTGAATCATGTTACATTATTCTAATAGATATACATCAGACTAATATTAGAGGCCCATTCTATTTCCAGTCCACTAATCCAAACATGCCCCCCAACCCCCCACGGAAACCCGGGATACTGGGTTTGACTGAACAGTGGCCCCTAATCTGGAGAGATTTTATTGATTGATCAAATTAAAATGTACCGTTAAACTCCCAGCAGCCTTGCCATAACTGGATGAGAGGGTAAAATCCCAGTCCCAGGGGCCTATTGTTGTATCAACTAATCTCTAGTCTGAGCTGTTCTGTCTTAATCACACCATTATTTGATTTCACTGTGGTCTGGTTTGGCAGTCAGCAGGAGACAGAGATGTTAGAACCCTGAGGACAGGCCTAGCTGTCTGGCCATTGTGCCACGTGTCTCGCTTATCAAATCATCACTGCCTCCACCCCGTGCCCTGGCACACGTTTACTCACAACACCACTTTCATCTGGCCAGAGGGAACATTGCAGATCATATCCCCTCTACAAAGTGATTATAATATACACTGTAGGTGGCCTGAGTGGTGATTTTCACTTGTCGATAATTATAATAATTATGATCGCTGGGCCTTAGTCAGTGGTGGAAAAAGTACCCAATTGTCATACTTGAGTAAAAGTATAGATACCTTAATAGAAAGTTACTCAAGTAAATATAAATAGTAAAGTAAAGTACAGATACCCCAAAAAACTACTTAAGTAGTACTTTATGGTATTTTTACTTAAGTACTTTACACCACTGGCCTTAGTAAGCAGATGTCAACTTGAGTAAGCAGATGCCAACTTCTTTCTGAGCAGCAAAAGCGCACTAAAATCTCTAATAAAAAGCTGATGTTTACAACCACTGTATATTACTGCGCACTACCATGCTTATTGAAATCCACCCTCAAAATGCTCAACCTTTTGCTTACATTCATCTCACCAAGTATAAGTTTGACATACATTATGTATCTGTTAATCAGTGATAGGGTTTGTTTCGCAACATCTGTGTTGTGTAACATAAGGTTAGGGTTACTGAATGAAAGTCGTAATCCTAAAACTTTCAAATCAGGCCTGTGAAATCCCCTCTCATCTGCACTGCAGTATTAACCAATCCTTCTCTACCGTCCATCTGTCTGTCTTTCTGAGAAACTCATCTGGGATTCAGCTAAATTCATTTTGAGACCATTCTTGGCAATTTATCATTTTGAGAAAAAGCTCTTTGTAAATATAAACAAACCTCAAAGCTTTCTCTTGTTTTCTCTTTCTCTTTCCTTCCCCTCTCTCTCCATCACTCCTCCCTCTTTCTCCGTCACTCCCCCTCTCTCTCCATCACTCCTTCCTCTCTCTCCATCACTCCTTCCTCTCTCTCCATCACTCCTTCCTCTCTCTCCATCACTCCTTCCTCTCTCTCCATCACTCCTTCCTCTCTCTCCATCACTCCCCCTCTCTCTCCATCACTCCCCCCTCTCTCTCCATCACTCCTCCCTCTCTCTCCATCACTCCCCCCCTCTCTCTCATCACTCCTCCCTCTTTCTCCATCACTCCTCCCTCTCTCTCCATCACTCCTCCCTCTCTCTCATCACTCCCCCCTCTCTCTCCATCACTCCCCCCTCTTTCTCCATCACTCCCCCCTCTCTCTCCATCACTCCCCCCTCTCTCTCCCCTAGTCTCTGTCCTGTGCCTGTTTCCCCAGGCGGCGCAGGCTCTGTGGGCGTGCGCACGCTCCTGCCCAGCCTCTTGCACGTGCACGCCGGAGAAGAGCTGCAGTGTGCTGTGTGACCGCTCGGGCCTGCCCGACCTGCCCCGGGAGTTCCCCTGTGAAGCGTCCTCCATCAACCTGGACAAGAACAGCCTTAAGTTCCTGTCTGAGAGGGCCTTTGGTACCCTGCCCTCCCTCAGGTCTCTGTCCCTGGACCACAACAACATCTCCTTCATCACCCCCGGGGCCTTCAAGGTCAGCAGAAGTGGTGTAAAGTACTTAAGTAAAACTACTTGAAAGTACTACTTAAGTAGTTTTTTGGGGTATCTGTACCAAACTTTACTATTTATATTTTTGACAACTTTTACTTCACTACATTCCTAAACAAAATGATGTACTTTTTACTCCATACATTTTCCCTGACACTCAAAAGTACTCATTACATTTTGAATGCAATTCACACACTTATCAAGATAACATCCCTGGTCATCTCTACTGCCTCTGATCTGGCGGACTCACTAAACACAAATGCTTCGTATGTAAATTATGACTGAGTGTTGGAGTGTGCCCCTAGCTATCCGTAAATTTAAAAAAACATGACAATTGTGCCGTCTGGTTTGCTTAATATAAGGAATTTGAAATTATTTATACTTTTACTTCTACTTCTACTACATTTCTAAAGAACATTATGTACTTTTTACTCCATACATTTTCCCTGACACCTAAAAGTACTCGTTCCATTTTGAATGCTTAGCAGGACAGGAAAATTGTCTAATTCACATACTTATCAAGAGAACATCCCTGGTCATCCCTACTGCCTCTGATCTGGCAGACTTACTAAACACATGCTTCATTTGTAAATGATGTCTGAGTGTTGGAATGTGCCCCTGGCTATCCATAAAAATTTAAGACATTTGAAATTATTTATACTTTTACTTTTGATACTTACAGTTGAAGTCGGAAGTTTACATACACTTAGGTTGGAGTCATTAAATCTCGTTTTTCAACCACTCCACAAATTTCTTGTTAACAAACTATAGTTTTGGCAAGTCGGTTAGGACATCTACTTTGTGCATGACACAAGTAATTTTTCAAACAATTGTTTACAAACAGATTATTTCACTTATAATTCACTGTATCACAATTCCAGTGGGTCAGAAGTTTACATACACTAAGTTGACTGTGCCTTTAAACAGCTTGGAAAATTCCAGAAAATGATGTCATGGCTTTAGAAGCTTCTGATAGGCTAATTGACACCATTTGAGTCAATTGGAGGTGTACCTGTGGATGTATTTCAAGGCCCACCTTCAAACTCAGTGCCTCTTTGCTTGACATCATGGGAAAATCAAAAGAAATCAGCCAAGACCTCAGAAAATACATTGTAGACCTCCACAAGTCTGGTTCATCCTTGGGAGCAAGTTCCAAACGCCTGAAGGTACCACGTTCATAGTACGCAAGTATAAACACCATGGGACCACGCAGCCGTCATACCGCTCAGAAAGGAGACGCGTTCTGTCTCCTAGAGATGAATGTACTTTGGTGCGAAAAGTGCAAATCAATCCCAGAACAACAGCAAAATAACTTGTAAAGATGCTGTAGGAAACAGGTACAAAAGTATCTATATCCACAGTAAAACGAGTCCTATATCAACATAACCTGAAAGGCCGCTCAGCAAGGAAGAAGCCACTGCTCCAAAACTGCCATAAAAAAGCCAGACTACGGTTTGCAACTGCACATGGGGACAAAGATCGTACTTTTTGGAGAAATGTCCTCTGGTCTGATGAAACATAAATAGAACTGTTTGGCCATAATTACCATCGTTATGTTTGGAGGAGAAAGGGGGTGGCTTGCAAGCCGAAGAACACAATCCAAACCGTGAAGCACGTGGGTGGCAGCATCATGCTGTGGGTGTGCTTTGCTACAGGAGGGACTGGTGCACTTCACAAAATAGATGGCATCATGAGGAAGGAAAATTATGTGGATATATTGAAGCAACATCTCAAGACATCAGTCAGGAAGTTAAAGCTTGGTCACAAAGTCAAGGTATTGGAGTGGCCAAACAAAAAACTCTGACCTCAATCCTATAGAACATTTGTGGGCAGAACTGAAAAAGCGTGTGCGAGCAAGGAGGCCTATGAACCTGACTCAGTTACACCAGCTCTGTCAGGAGGAATGGGCCAAAATTCACCCAACTTATTGTGGGAAGCTTGTGGAAGGCTACCCGAAACGTTTGACCCAAGTTAAACAATTTAAAGGCAATGCTACCAAATACTAATTGAGTGTATGTAAACTTCTGACCCACTGGGAATGTGATGAAATAAATAAAAGCTGAAATAAATAATTCTCTCTACTATTATTCTGACATTTCACATTCTTAAAATAAAGTGGTGATCCTAACTGACCTAAAACAGGGAATTTCTACTATGATTAAATGTCAGGAATTGTGAAAAACGTATTTAATGTATTTGGCTAAGGTGTATGTAAACAAACACACAATCAAAAAGAGATCCATCACAATCAAGATTACAAGTTGTCTTTTTGCTTGAGATTGTCCTTTTCCTCTCCTGATATACTGAGCTTTTGGTTGATTGGATTTTTTCTGTATTATTGATCATGTTTTTACTCCTCTTATTGCTGTACGTGAACCGTTTGGAGTGTATAAAATATATGATTATTATACTACTAACATATGTATTATTATGATAATTCTCTAGGGACTGCCCAACCTAGTGGAGCTGAAGATGGCCCACAACGAGTACATCCGTTACCTCCACACCCGCACCTTCACCGGGCTCAAACGCCTGGTCCGATTGGACGTGGCCGATTGTAACCTCTTCAACATGCCCGACCGGATCTTTCTAGAAAATTACGCTCTGAAGGAACTCTTCTGCTTCCAGAACAACTTCCGGAGGATTCCTGGAGCGTTCCGCGGGATGGAGAACCTGACCCACGTCTACCTGGAGCGGAACAAGATTGAGGCGGTGGCGTATAACTCTCTCCTGGGCCTGGGGAACCTCAGGTAGGTAACTAGCTGTAGCTCAGAGAGAGAAAGGAAAGACTGTTCACTGTTGGCTACTCTCACAAAGTAGTTCTTTGAACATTTCAACCATGTTGCTCTTTGTCAAATTTGTACAGTTATAAAACCTTTTAAGCAAAATTGGTGCAAAGACCAATAAGGTCAAAACATAACTAGCATTAGCTTATTGACAAACTTATTGGTGAGCAGCAAACATTGAGCTGACATTTCTTTCTCTCTTCGTCTGGATAATTCCTTATCCTGCATAGTCACACTTCTCATTTCCAAAACCCGTCAGGTACCTGAACCTCCAGGAGAACCGCATCAACGTGATCCACGACCAGTCCTTCCAGGACCTCCTGCGCCTGGAGAACTTCTACCTCAACGACAACCTGCTGTCTGAGCTGCCCCGGATGGCCTTCAAGGGCCTCAGCCGCCTCAAGATGCTCAACCTGGGGGGCAACCAGCTCACCAACATCTCCAAGACCTGGTTCAGTGACCTGGTGGAGCTGGAGGTCCTCTACCTGGACCGCAACCGCCTGGTCTACATCGAGGAGGGCTCCTTTGAGAACCTGACCAGTCTGATCACCCTCCACCTCAACAGCAACAACCTCAGCTCCCTGCCCTTCCCCGTCTTCCAGCCTGTCTACTTCATCGGACGCCTCTACCTCTTCAAGAACCCCTGGGAATGTGACTGCTCTCTGGAGTATCTTAAGGAGTGGATGGAGAGTTATAAGTTGGTCCGGGACATCCCCTGCGCCTCCCCGTCCTCCGTGGCTGGCCTGGATTTGAGCGAAGTAGTCTTCGCCAGGGTTAATGGGTCGTGCCTGGATCCGGGGGAGCTGAACCTGACCACGATGTCTTCGGACATCCTCTCGACCACGGAGAACCGTTTCAACAGCCTGATCTCCAAGCTGCTACAGCAGGAGCTCAGGGAAGAGGTGGGGAACGGGACGGAGAGCCTGAGGAACGGGACCCTGCTGGACCCTGCAGAGGGACTCAGCGCTGGGATCAAAGGGGCAGACGCCAGCCAATCACTGGTCTCATTGTTGGTGATGTGTTGTGTCTTCTGGATGACGATTGGTCAATCGGATGTGGATTTCCTGTTTGGGCATGTGACTGGCACCTGAGAGATGGAAGAATGTGGTTGTGTTTCTGAAAATTGGGTGATTTCTTCCCTCATTGGGAGGAAAGTTGTTTTGAATGAAGGATGCTACAGACAAGTCAATCTTTGTTGGATGTTTGAGTATCTGACTGTCCATTAAGATGTCTTGTGGAGTATGTGAGTTCCCTGCTGATGAAAACTCACATTTGTTTGTTGTTCATCCTTCGAAATGAAAGGAATAAGTAATACAACGGGTTCAGACCTAATATCACATGGATACAGGCTGACCTGAGACCTGATATTACATGGATACAGGCTGACCTGAGACCTGATATCACATGGATACAGGCTGACCTGAGACCTGATATTACATGGATACAGGCTGACCTGAGACCTGATATCACATGGATACAGGCTGACCTGAGACCTGATATCACATGGATACAGGCTGACCTGAGACCTGATATCACATGGATACAGGCTGACCTGAGACCTGATATCACATGGATACAGGCTGACCTGAGAGTGTGGCTCATGTAAAACACTGAACTGCTTGATATTGGACAGCACAGATTTGTCTTGTACTATGCAGAATGTTTGTTGTATTGAAACCATGGATTATTGCAATGGTTTAGATTTCAATACCTTCCTTGTGTTATGTAACATTCTCTAATGAATGATAACATTCATTCATATTATATAATATTTAAAACATGAATGTGTTCCCTGTACCATTAACAAACATTGTTTTCTACTGAATGTAAATGTGTAAATGCTGACAGATCAAGTCATCAGCGCCTTTATATACTCAACAGATATTTTCCTCCCTCTCACTTTCCCTCGTTCTTCTTGTTTTAATCATTCAACTCAGTAAATGCAGACTGTGCGGCTTTTCATAAATGCATTAATCTTCTTACAGCGTGCAGCTCTCACGCGCGCTCCTCTTTGCCATGTAAACCTCTGTCTAGTCTAACACAACGTAATGGAGGGAGTTTATCATTGTGTTTGCCTCTTATGGACCTGATTCCCCTTATGTACATACACTAGGTTGTTTAGTCAATAGGGGAAGTGATCAAAAGGACAGAATGAACTGCATTCTTTGGGATGATCTACTGTACTGTATTGACAGTCACATGACAATGTATATCAACGGACTATCAAAGCACCCCCTTTTGCTTTAGATTTGTACTATTGACGATGCAACATACATTTCATACACAGTCTCTCTGCACAGTACATATGCAATTTTGTGCATGTTAACACCTATCTTTTTGTTTAAATAGGTACAACTATCCATGATTTGATATGTATACTTTCATCTGTTTCTTATGACCACAATGTTTGCTAAATGTCGCTTGCCAAACTAGTGATTTAGTTAAATGGTGTTCGTTGGCATATTAATATTGACCTTACTCCTTCACGGTGCGATGTATACTAGACTATCAACACGTGACTCGGCTCCTACACATCATTTAGGGCTAGATACGTAGCGAGGAAGATCCTTGTTATAGCGCGAAGAAAACGTAAAGGTCATTTCCGATTGAGCCGACATAATGCAGCGTGTACCGTGAACGCAGTCTCCGCGAACGCTGGAACTTTGCCTTTACATTTCAATCACCCTATAGCACCGATCTTCCACGCTACGGATTTCATCTAGGCCTTAGATTTCCTTCCAACAGTTTGAACTCTGACCCTGATCTGCTAAGCGTGTCCTTTTAGCCTAGTGGAAGTTTTCAACCCACCCGGTGAAGTAGTGGTGAATCTGCTGTTAACCTTTTAATGTGAGATTAGGACTGGGACTATTGGTGACAAACCCCTGGGATGGGCTGGACGCTGCAAGGCCATGGTGTCATATTAGATCACTGTCATTTACTTTATGTATTATTACCATGTATCATTTAATGCATCCATCTATTTATTTAATGTTGGTGTTATTTTTTATATAAACTGCTGAGAATTAGGGATTATATTTCTCCCTTTATATTTGGACTGAACCACTAGGGATCTGAGATAACTGGATGAGGAAGGCAATGGGTGTGGCCTGACCGTGATCATGATAATGAGCTAGGTGGAGTTTTCTCCATTTTACTTGCACCCATCCAGCTCTTTCTGATCTAACCCTAACCCTAAGGGGTCTTCAAAAGGTGTCTACGGTTTAGGGGTAAGAGGTTAAGTGGGAGTGAATTTGTGATAGAGATGAACTGTACTGTGGGGTTTACAGTAATATGAATGACTGATTATTGAGAGATGCTGCTTATGAACCTGAATGTCATCTGCCTGAATAAACATAATGTTCTGTGTGTGTGTGTGTGTGTGTGTGTGTGTGTGTGTGTGTGTGTGTGTGTGTGTGTGTGTGACAGGTTACATTTTCAACACATGAAAGGAAATATATATTTTTTAAAAATTCATATTGAAGAACTTTATCATTGTAGATTATTTTACACTGGGGCAGTCAAAAATACACTACCGGTCAAAAGTTTTAGAACAGCTACTCATTCAAGGGTTTTTCTTTATTTTTACTATTTTCTACATTGTAGAATAATAGTGAAGACATCAAAACTATGAAATAACACATATGGAATCATGTAGTAACAAAACAAGTGTTATATTATTATATATTTTATATTTGAGATTCTTGAAATAGCCACCCTTTGCCTTGATGACAGCTTTGCACACTCTTGGCGTTCTCTCAACCAGCTTCACCTGGAATGCTTTTCCAACAGTCTTGAAGGAGTTCCCACATATGCTGAGCACTTGTTGGTTGCCTTTCCTTCACTCTGCGGTTCGAGTCATCCCAAACCATCTAAATTTGGTTGAAGTCCGGGTGATTGTGGTGGCCAGGTCATCTGATGCAGCCCTCCATCACTCTCCTTGGTAAAATAGCCCTTACACAGCCTGGAGGTGTGTTGGGTCATTTTCCTGTTGAAAAACAAATGATAGTCCCACTAAGCCCAAACCAGATGGGATGGCATATTGCTGCAGAATGCTGTGGTAGCCATGCTGGTTAAGTGTGCCTTGAAATCTAAATCAATCACAGACAGTGTCACCAGCAAAGCACCCCCACAACATAACACCTCCTCATCCATGCTTTATGGTGGGAAATACACATGCGGAGATCATCCATTCACCCACACCATGTCTCACAAAGACACAGCGGTTGGAACCAAAAATCTCCTATTTGGACTCCAGACCAAAGGACACATTTCCACCGGTCTAATGTCTATTGCTCGTGTTTCTTGGCCCAAGCAAGTCTCTTCTTCTTATTGGTGTCCTTTAATAGTGGTTTCTTTGCAGCAATTCGACCATGAAGGCCTGATACACACAGTCTCCTCTGAACAGTTGATGTTGAGAAGTGTCTGTTACTTGAACTCTGTGAAGCATTTATTTGGCCTGTAATTTCTGAGGCTGGTAACTCTAATGAACTTATCCTCTGCAGCAGAGGTAACTGGGTCTTCCATTCCTCTTTGTTTATTTGAACTGTTCTTGCCATAATATGGACTTGGTCTTTTACCAAATAGGGCTGTCTTCTGTATAACCCCCCCCCCCCACCTTGTCACAACACAACTGATTGGCTCAAACGCATTAAGAAGGAAAGAAATTCCACAAATTAACTTTTAAGAAGACACACCTGTTAATTGAAATGCATTCCAGGTGACTACCTCATGAAGCTGGTTGAGAGAATGCCAAGAGTGTGCAAAGCTGTCATCAAAGCAAAGGGTGGCTATTTGAAGAATCTCAAATATAAAATATATTTTGATTATTGGTTATTGTATGATTCCATATGTGTTATTTCATTATTTTGATGTCTTCACTATTATTCTACAATGTAGAAAATAGTAAAAATAAAGAAAAACCCTTGAATGAGTAGGTGTTCTAAAACATTTGACCAGTAGTGTATATCATCATTAGTCATATTTCATATACACGGTTATTCAGATGCACAAACTGCTTACTGTTCCTTTGCAAAGCCTTCACCTTGCAAAACGTAGTGTGTGCATATCCTTTTTCATCCAGTTACACAGTTGCAGAATACAAATCAGCATTAATCTATCGTTGATTAAACTTAATTAAAACATTAATACTCTCAGACGACACATTTCTGAAATGGCAAATCAGGAATCAGTTGTAATTTGATCCCCCTCCTAATTTTCTTATACAACAAATCAAGACACATTTTTTTTTTAAGAAACACGATCTCGCTACCATGGTATTTTTTGGAAAAATCGGTTGTTTTTAGAAATGTCGTCTGAAATGCCAAGGGATGTGCATAGGTGTCAGGGTTATTTTAGTTGGTTGTTATTTCCTGTTCCCCTTGCTTCCATTGGTCGAGTGGAGTCTTCCAGACGCGTGGAATGTTGGTTTTCAGTTGGGAGGAGGTTACAGCAGGACACTGGGAACACTGATGGACTGACTGACGGACAGACGGCATGGAAGCTTGCGAATGTCCAACATGCATGAGACCTCATTCAAATCTCTAAAGAGACAGTATCTGGTGGAGATGTGTGTGAAGGGTAGAGGGGGGTGGCTAAGGTGATAACGTGTACAGTCAAAATGAAGCAAGATGAAACTGAACTACATGAATAATAACAGAGTGAGCTTAGAGAAAGACACAAGTTGACAATAAAGGTTAATACATAGTGCTGAGGGATTAGTGCTTTTCTAGGTCGGTTCGGTTTTGGTTCGATTCTTAAAAAATAATCACGGTTTTTGATTTCGGTTTGAATTCGTATTATTTTATCATGAAATGCATTCTGAAATAATGACACGTTTTTGGGGGGAGCATTTTAATGGCAATTCCAAAGCCAAAAAATAGTGAACATTCAATTGCCAAAACATTGAAAATATTCCATTGTCTCGGTCAGGTCCACATTGAGTAGACATCAATAGAAAAATAGGAAATTACTCTGAAATAATACAATATTTCAGTTGTGTATATTGCTTAGTTTTTATTTGATGACTTTATTATTTTTAATTCCTTAAAGTCATCATCTCATCACTGCTCAGGCAGTAGCAGTCAGCCAG